TCATAGAAGGAAGTGGGTGCTGCAAATGTGGGTATCTTAACAGCTGAACTACACACCAGTGAGATAAAAAGGTAAACCGGCACATCTGAGGGTAGGAGAAATCAGGGAAGAGAAGAATGGAAATGAAATAGAGGATTAATAAGCTGTCATTAAATGTGCATAAGCCATAAGAGTCAGTGGGGAGCAGGCACAAATGATTCCGCCATACTTTCAGAAGGAACCCAATGCTTATCTAAATGTTTTATATCATATGCTCTGGGATAACCTTAGTGCATGGTAAATGGTAGAAATGTGATGCTTGGCATTCTCAACATTCATGCAAAGCTTGACGTGGCATGTGACTTCGCTGAGTTATGCCTTCTCAGCATTCTAAGAATGTAAAGTTATTCTTAAATCTTCAAAATACTGTGGAAATCAGAATTCGAAATCCCCCACTTAGTAGAAGATCTGGGTAGTTCATCAAACTTAATTAATGGAATATTCCTTATCACCCATCCTTTGTATATCCTTTCTACTGGAAATATCAAAAACATGAATTACCAGAGAGAACACCTGTAACAGTGGTGCTAGGGACACAGTTTATAACTATCTGCATTAGTTGTCACAAGTTTCATGGTTTCACCACATGTAACATTGTCGGGTACCTCTCTGGTCATATAGGAACTGATGGCATTGTCCACAGAAAATATCATTTATCTGGAAAAGGAGACGTTTCCTCTAAATCTAGCCACTTTTTTACACTTTTTAAAAACCCGTGGGAAATATAACACTTTTGCGTTAGCTAAATAGACTGCTCGATAGTACACTAATAAATTTGGTAAATCAATTCCACCACATCAGTTTCCTTTCTTAAAGGACCACTATAGTGCCAGGAAAACATACTTGCCGGGCTCTGGGGAGAGGAAGGGGTTAAACTTACCTCTTTCTCCAGGGCCGGGCGGGGAGCTCTCCTCCTCCTCTCCGCCTCTTTGGCTGAATGCGCATGCATGCGCATTCATGTGCATTCAGCCAGTCTCATAGGAAAGCATTCATAATGCTTTCCTATGGACGCTTGCGTCTTCTCACTGTGATTTTCACAGTGAGAAGCACGCAAACTCCTCTAGCAGCTGTCAATGAGACAGCCACTAGAGGCTTTAGAGGCTGGATTAACCTATTTATAAACATAGCAGTTTCTCTGAAACTGCTATGTTTATAAAAAAAAAAAAAAAGGGGGTTAACCCTAGAAGGACCTGGCACCCAGATCACTTCATTAAGCTGAAGTGGTCTGGGTGCCTATAGTGGTCCTTTAATGCCAGGAATACTTTAAAATTGACCTATCATCCCAAGGGAAAAGATGTACACTTCATTACATCTTTTAGTAACTACAGTCTGTTTTGTCAGTAAAAATATTCTTGAAATTTATTGTCCCTCAACATATGTGCCTTCATTGGATTTGAGCATAGATTAATGAATGTACAGGTAGCGTCCTTTTGAATTGACTGATTCAATTCCAAAACAAATGGATTAAAAGGTCAGTTCCAGATAGACGGAAATGTACGGTTTACATTGTTTTAGTGAGAATTTGCACAAATGAGTAAAGTAAGATACACTTACAGATAGATATAGTTTACCTCCCCAAAATGGAAAAGAAACTAAGGAAGGTAGATGTACAGTTCAACAACATTCTACATAACTATATGTTTGCTGGCTGTTTGGCTAGCACAATATTTAGAAGAATTTGTCAGGACATTAAAATTAGATTTGTCATATTCTGAGTCACAGGCAATCTTTAATGTCTATCAGAATAAAAGTGTTCTAGAACTTACAATCTTATTTTGTGATCATTATGTAAACTTTTGTGTCCCGTCGTTTATATTTACAGAATAGAAACAAAAAATAAGTGGAGTTTGTTCATTTTGCTTTGTCTCCTGAGCTCAGTCTATCTCCCAGACTGAGGAAAAGCGTACAGCCAGCTTAATAAATTGACTTTGAAGTATGCTGTGGGTTATGTATTGGACATAAAGTATTCCAGGTCACAGTTTCACTTCCTGAAGGGCAGTCAGGAAATGATGTCAGTGCTTGGCAATTTCCTTATTTACTTTCTTTATTGATCGTTTAGTTACTAAATCATTTCTTCTGCTTATTAAATGTTAAATTCCTCAAGCAAGAGGGGAAAGGCAGGGTAGTTCCTGTCCTTTGCTCATCCTGCGGTAGGAGGGAGTATAAGGAAACTTAACTTTGACGTCTTTGTCTCCATCAAAGAACAGAAAGATGAGTGTGTCTGGAATTCTTGGATAGTTTATTAAAGATTGAAACAAAATATTTGAACATACTAGCATGTGTCCATCCTCCATACCTGGCAGAGTTAATTCAGCCATTCATCGTTTCATATGTACATGAATGAGTATCATTGAGCTGAAAACAGTGTCTCGAAAAAGTTTGGATTTTTTTTTTTTTTTTTTTTATTAAACATTTTTCAACTTCTTTCTTTGAGTGTTTCTTACAAATCTGGTAAGCCACAGAACATTGTTTCAAGAACAATATTCTTAAATCTGGTTCTGCGCATGACCTACACATTGCATTCATTACCAGGACTCATTTTATGGTCAGTCCATGCTAACAAATGATGTGCCAACTGAAAGAATGATGCTCATTACTTTATATTGAAGAATTCTGCCAAATTGGAACCAGTTATAATGTCGAGTAGGGTTTGCCAGTCAGTGGAATAATTTTCCTGGCAACATGAGTCTTCTGCCAGCTCTGAACTCATACCGTGTTAGACTATAAAACTTGGTGGATGTGGACAAATGCTTTACTCGTACTTAGTTCTCTTACAGCAGCTAAAGGGAACAACTTCAATCACCAGTTTGTTGGCAGAGATATTGAGCCTGGCTTTTGGGCCAGCAGAAATAGCAGCACTTGCTGCTGTTTACCCACAATATACTTGATGTCTGTCATGGTACAGAGAATGTTCGAAAAATGTTAGAGAAGCAGTTAAGTGGGTTTATTTTTTTTGTATGAGATTCGTAAACTAAAACTATATCTTTACTTAAACACCAGATATTCCATTACTTTTCCTTTTTCTATGATGAGGACTTCTAGTCTATCATCTATACAGCTAAAATAGATAAGATCTTGCACACCAATACAGGTTGACTAGAGGGCCCTCCAGGTTTTAATGCATCACTGTTGCTGATGTTGATTAAAAAAAATTAAAAAGTAAGCAATTCGCAATTGAGCCACAAAAAGGGGAAAACACTATTGTCTGATGAGTGGAAATTGTATTTCCTCAGAGATCCGGAAACAAATTGATGCCTTATTTACCTTCGTAGACCTACTGCCTGACACTGCACATTTATTTTTATGATGTTCTCCACAGTTATTTTCGAGTCCTTGTTGTTCAAGTATATCTTTGCATGCATTTCAGTGTCCGCTTCTAATGTAATGTCTGCCCATTATGAGTGTTAAAAGATCTTTTATGCTCAGGATCAGAGAAATCTGTGAGATGGAACCTTTATGTTCTCAGCGGCGTTGTATAGAATTGAAATGCAAACTCATTTTTTGACTTCTTTTATAGACCTATCTTAAAATATGCCTTGTGTATCAGTTAGTATGATTGTTTTCTGGGGTCGTCTACTTGCAATGTTACTACTCAGATAATCTGGATGGGCTTTTGCACGCTTGTTTTCTTTCTGTCAGTTCTCCTCAATGATAGATTGAATTCCTGATAAAATATCTCCTAACGTTATATCTGTTTCACATTGACTAACAAATACAGTATCGGTCTTTTCCTTGGAACCATATTTTGGTGGAATATATATCCTAAGATACAGCACTAAATGATGGATATACATTTATTTGTATAAATGGTGACTAGATGTTGCTGTGATCACGGGCAGGTTGTTTTAAAACGTGCTATGTCATAGTAATTACAGGTTTGAAGAAATTGGTGTGGTGACAGGAGCATAACAGTTTCTAGATACATTGTGGTTAAGGTAGACTTAAAGGACCACTCTAGGCACCTAGACCACTTCAGCTTAATGAAGTGGTCTGGGTGCCAGGTCCCTCTAGGATTAACCCTTTTTTTTTTTTTTTTATAAACATAGTTTCAGAGAAACTGCTATTTTTATAAATGGGTTAATCCAGCCTCTAAAGCCTCTAGTGGCTGTCTCATTGACAGCCGCTAGAGGGGTTTGCGTGCTTCTCACTGTGAAAATCACAGTGAGAAGATGCCAGCGTCCATAGGAAAGAATTATGAGTGCTTTCCTATGAAACAGGCTGAATGCGAGCGCAGCTCCTGCCACGCATGCGCATTCAACCGAAGAGGAGGATCGGAGGCGGAGAAGTAGCCAATGTCTCATACTGCACAATGAAATGACCCTGCTTAACAAACTATACATTCTATGCTAATCTATCAACTCACGGGCTTTGTTCCATACAGCTTTGTCTTAGTCTCCAGGTCAGTGCCATATTCTTAGGGCAGCACAAGTTGGACTCGTGTACAGATCCAGCCATTATGTGACTCAATGTACCTTTATCCTGATGAAAATTTACCAGACTATTATTTCATCCATTCTACATGTGAACATGGTATGTCTCTGTAGGCATGATCTAGTTTAGGGGTTCCAAATGTTTTTGGACCAAGGAACAGTTCAATTAGAGAGACATTTTTCCACACAATTTTTTTTTTTTACCTTCATCAACAACATATAAACATCAGATTTGCATTCTTACTTTATAGGGATGTAAAACTTACAGTGCATAGTTCTAGCTAAAATAACTGCTAGTATTAATTGCCAAATGAGAATCCCCATTTTAATGCATACTTAGAGACACTATAGTCACCAAAACAACTTTAGCTTAATTAAGCTTGTGTCTTACTACTCAGTTTTCTGCCATTTAGGAGTTTAATCACTTTTGTTTCTATTTATGCAGCCCTAGCCACACCTCCCCTGGCTGACACAGCCTGCATACAAAAAAACAATCAGATGAAACTTAATTTTAAAGTTTTTAATCTCCTGCTCTGTAAAAAGTTTTAATTACATACAGGAGGCTCCTGCAGGGTCTAGACATCTATTAACAGAGCATTTGATAAGACATTATAAAGTAAACAGATTTTGGAATAAAGGAAGTGTAAACATTAGAAGACTCTTTCCAGGAAGTGTTTAGAAAGCCTGTGTAAGTCACATGCAGTGAGGTGTGCCCAGGGATGCATAAGTAATGTGATTTAACTCCTAAATGGCAAAGTTGGACTGCAGGGGTATGATCTATACACCAAAATTGCTTCATTAAGTTAAAGTTGTTTTAGTGACTATAGTGTCCCTTCAAAGTAAAGCTGTAACCGTTATTTTTAATATTAACGAAGATACAAAGTTACGTGTCATGTATTCCCTTTGTGTGTTATTTTAGAATGTATAAGTAGAACTTAATGATTTTCGATGCATCTCCTGTCTCATCCTTTCAGTGTGGTAACAACCTCTATTCGTGAAACAGAGGATACACGTATTTGCTAAAACCACGTTCAGTTTAATCAGATGAAATTGTTTCAGAGCATATTTGTTTAGATACCTGTTTTTTCTGCATATCAGGATCTGTGAACATTCACGAACTCCCAATTAACGTCATGGTTCCCAGACTAAGAGTTGTTTCCAACTAAAGAAGTCTTAAAGGAACACTCTAATCCCCTAAAAGACACCAGCTTGCTGATGCTTTAGAGGTTAATGTTCTCTCCCATTGGCAGTTTTTATAAAAGTACCAATTTCAATATAAACCCGTACTTTTAAAAAAGTTGTTCGATGCATACTTCCTGCTTTTCTTGAGCATTTGCTTTGATCATGATTTAAAACTCATACAGAAGCATTGGGTTCAATTTTGTGGGTCATGCCAATTACTGCACACAGGCCGTAGGTCACCAATGCTTCTTTACGAGAAGCATAGGATTCACCCTGACGTAATCAGTATTGGTGATCTTCTGGGGGCAGAGCTGCTGCGAGAAGACTGTATCACCACTGGAAAAAGGTAAACAATTTATTTTCTAAAACAGTGGGGACATCATTTATTTATAAAACTATTTCTTTAAAGGTGGCTAAACCTGGTGCAGCAATAAGCCAAGAGAAGCACTTAAGAGGAATTTACTTCTATTTATGCACTGCACAAAAATTATATACGCAGAATCTAGATTTCATGCAATCTTTCATTTCCATTAATAAAAATGATTACCATTTTTCCTTTTAAGAGCTGCGTTCAACCTATTGCAGCCCATTAAGTCATTGTGTTTGTGGCACACTTTGAGGTGGTTTGCAGCTTGAAAACCACTGGTTTTGTGAATGGTTGGAGACTACTGCAAATTGTAATCTTAATTAGTGTAGTCTAAATTGATTTGTTAATAAATAGGGTCTCTGAGCCATGTAAAAGATTGTGTGAATACAGCTGTAAAAACGGAGCTGGTTTGTCAAAGCTATAGTAAAAATCCTAATGTGTTTGTGAGCGTAGCAATGCGCTATACAGTTAATTTAGCAGCAATTTACTTGGCAGTGTTGATTATTTTGTCTGCTGCTGTGTTCTCTGATAAGCTAATTGCATAGGTCCATGTGCTTTGATAACCTGGATGTAAAATTGTGGTTAGGATAAGCCTTAAATACGTATCTCGACTGTTTTAGTTCATTAAAGTGTACCTTTCATGGTACGTGTTCATTATTTTTCAATTAAATGCATAAAATGTTATGAAGTAGTAGAAAAAGTCAAACGAAATGATGTGTGTTTTTTAAAAAAATTTTTTTACGATTTCCCACTACTTTATAAATCTGATATTTCCATCATAATACAGGGCAGCAGTTTAGACCTGTTAAGAAGTACCTCTATCTTGTCACCTTTCTCTCCCTTTCTTATGTTCTCCTTTTTTCTCATCCTCTTATATATTGTTATTCCTTTCACTTATTTCCAAACTTCCTTCGTCCTTTCCAATGCTTCATCTGTGTGCTATGTTTTCAGCGGTGGTCCATTTTTCGTGTGTTGGCTTTATATGTGAGAACATCTGGTCTAGCCACTGCATAAATTGGAAATAAACTTGCCTTGCTAAGGATGACGGTACGGCTATTTCAGCCCCCTTTATGGTGTCCAACACTGCTCAAAAAAATAAAGGGAACACTTAAACAACACAATGTAACTCCAAGTCAATCACACTTCTGTGAAATCAAACTGTCCACTTAGGAAGCAACACTGAGTGACAATCAATTTCACATGCTGGGATAGACAACAGGTGGAAATTATAGGCAATTAGCAAGACACCCCCAATAAAGGAGTGGTTCTGCAGGTGGTGACAACAGACCACTTCTCAGTTCCTATGCTTTCTGGCTGATGTTTTGGTCACTTTTGAATGCTGGCGGTGCTTTCACTCTAGTGGTAGCATGAGACACAAGTGGCTCAGGTAGTGCAGCTCATCCAGGATGGCACGTCAATGCAAGCTGTGGCAAGAAGGTTTGCTGTGTCTGTCAGCGTAGTGTCCAGAGCATGGAGGCGCTACCAGGAGACAGGCCAGTACATCAGGAGACGTGGAGGAGACCGTAGGAGGACAACAACCCAGCAGCAGGACCGCTACCTCCACCTTTGTGCAAGGAAGAACAGGAGGAGCACTGCCAGAGTCTTGCAAAATGACCTCCAGCAGGCCACAAATGTGCATGTGTCTGCTCAAATGGTCAGAAACAGACTCCATGAGGGTGGTATGAGGGCCCAACGTCCACAGGTTGGGGTTGTGCTTACAGCCCAACACCGTGCAGGACGTTTGGCATTTGCCAAAGAACACCAAGATTGGCAAATTTGCCACTGGCGCCCTGTGCTCTTCATAGATGAAAGCAGGTTCACACTGAGCACATGTGACAGACGAGTCTGGAGACGCCGTGGAGAACGTTCTGCTGCCTGCAACATCCTCCAGCATGACCGGTTTGGCAGTGGGTCAGTAATGGTGTGGGGTGGCATTTCTTTGGGGGGGGTCGCACAGCCCCCCATGTGCTCGCCAGAAGTAGCCTGACTGCCATTAGGTACCGAGATGAGATCCTCAGACCCCTTGTAAGACCATATGCTGGTGCGGTTGGCCCTGTGTTCCTCCTAATACAAGACAATGCTAGACCTCATGTGGCTGGAGTGTGTCAGCAGTTCCTGCAAGATGAAGGCATTGATGCTATGAACTGGCCCGCCCGTTCCCCAGACCCGAATCAAATTGAGCACATCTTGGACATCATGTATCGCTCCATCCACCAACGTCACGTTGCACCACAGACTGTCCAGGAGTTGGCAGATGCTTTAGTCCAGGTCTGGGAGGAGATCCCTCAGGAGACCATCCACCACCTCATCAGGAGCATGCACAGGCGTTGAGGTCATACAGGCACGTGGAGGCCACACACACTACTGAGCCTCATTTTGACTTGTTTTAAGGACATTACATCAAAGTTGGATCAGCCTGTAGTGTGTTTTTCCACTTTCATTTTGAGTGTGACTCCAAATCCAGACCTCCATGGGTTGAAAAATTTGATTTCCATTTTAAAATTTTTGTGTGATTTTGTTGTTAGCACATTCAACTATGTAAAGAACAAAGTATTTCAGAAGAATATTTGATTCATTCAGATCTAGGATGTGTTATTTTTGTGTTCTTTATTTTTTGGAGCAGTGTATTTAGATGATGAAGGGCAATCTATTCCTTGTGGGAGATGCACACCAATTCAGCTGATCTGAAATGGAACATGAATTTAATAGTGGCACACACAGAAAGTGTATTTCGCTTTGAAAGCTACATCAGTTCCTAGGTTTGGCATTCTTATTTTTCTGGCACCTGATAAGTGATTAAATCACGCAGGGTATTATGTTAACATTTCCCTGTGAAAACCAGCTCTGATCTCACTACTTTAGCTGTACTTTGAGACTATCTGTGGTAGGTAGAGGCCAAATGAGAAATATATATTTAGTGAATGTTGACTCAAGGCACCACTCAGCCTTGACTCAGCCTTTCCTGTAGTGGTCACCTATTTTCAGCACTTATAATGTGCCTTTTTTGGAAGATAAATGTATAATGAATATCAGGAGCTTTGGCCAGTGCCATCTGTAGACCAGTCCACCTTATATACTTGATAGCAGAGCTGCAGTAACCGTTATAGAGGGTATAAAACTCAGTGCTGTCCCAGATCCTCCAGTGTCTGTGTGTGAGAGGCTGGACAGGAAGTGGAAGGGATCACTGCCCATCTGCCCACTAGCAGCCTCTCACACAGGAAATGCCTTGCAGGGACAGTGCAGATCTGCTATCTATCATAGGAGGGTGGGGACTTTGTAAACAACCTTTCAAATGCTATATGCCTGTAACCTTAACACCCTTTTTTCTATAATCCTAAATTTAACCCCTCACAAAATTAAACATCCCTTCCTTAAAAGTCTAAATCTGAAATAAAACTTTTACCTGAATCCTAGGTTTAACTTTTCTAAAAAATTAAACACATGTTCACCAATACAAAATTTTACCTCCGCTTAACTCTCTAAACCCAAAAATGAAAAACACCCCTAATACCGCTTGTAATCATCTTAACACTAAACATCGTATGTAAACTAACTCTGATATTAACCGCTCTCTAACCTTAAACCCTCCTGTACCCTAACCACTTCAAACATTATCCTTAACCCTGCATACACTCACTGTACTCAGAGTCAAATGCAATACATTACAACCAGAAATATGCACGTACGTATATATGTGTGCAGTTTTCAAATAAATATATATATATTCGATTTTAGTGTCAGGATAATACATTCATTAAACTTCCCTTATCTGCCTTTTTTTTTTTTTTTGGTGAGACGGGGGACACCTTCGAGTTCTATGCCTGCAGGCACCTGACATGTAAATTCAGCCCCATATATCTTCATCTTTATCGTGAAAGGCAATTATTCAGTCTTTGTACAAATGTTCTCCGTTGGGGAAACCCAAGGTATTGTAAGCCGAGACTGACAAACTGAGCTGATGGAAGAATTATCCTCTAAAATGGGGACCATACAGTGCTGAGCCCCTATGGTAGTCTACAGTGTCACTCAGGTCAACTGCATTATGTTTAATTTTAACTCCCCTAAAGGGTTTTCAAAGCAGAACTCCAAATCTTCAGTATAACCCAGATGTTATAGGCCTCTCTAACCCCTAATGGACGAACAAGCCCATAATAAATCTATATAATGTTCACAATGTCTGCCTTTTTTTGTTCTTTATTCTGATATTTGTTAAAATGTAGCTTCATCAAATTATGCCCTTTAATTGGGGTAACCAGACATCCTGTTTTTGGGGTGTTGGCGGTGGAAATTATATGCTGCAGATTGCATTGAATTCAGTACTCCGCTCTAATTTGGGCTTTTGTTTTAAGATTTTCTTTTTTTGTTAGTGCAAAAATATTCTGATTTCACATTTTAAGGACAGTGTGTTCAAGAACGTTAGCCAATTCTTGCTAAAAAAAAACTAGAGTTGTGCAAAACATTCCTGCACATCTTAAAATGATTTTATTCTGGAAACCCTTTCATTTAGACCGAAGGCAGAATATATTGTGTTAATCCCATTATACTCTGTCCGCTTATGATTAGTTAGGAAAGGGTGGACAAGGCTGGTCAAAAAGTTACATTAACCCCTTAAGGACACATGACATGTGTGACATGTCATGATTCCCTTTTATACCAGAAGTTTGGTCCTTAAGGGGTTAAAGGGCAAGTAGGAAATTTCTTTCACAGTCCATTTTTTACAAAACGTTGTGCTCTGTGTTCCACGTAAACAATGAGTTTATAATGTTTTATGGATTGGTTTCTTTACACTTACGTCATCATTTAAAGAGCAGTTTGGGGATTTTTGATCTATTTTCAAGGCTTCAACCTATATCATTCCTGATGTGAATAATGTTATAGAAACCTTGTAATGTAAAAGCATAAAGTTTCCATGGCGCCTGTTTCCATTTTATAGAAATCTTTGTATTTACTGTGTTTTAAGAAGCATACGTTCAGACAGCATATATGAATTATTCAACTGGGTACTTTTTATGGCTTTCAAAAGATGTTGCAGAAACCGGGCACGACCTCATTAAAATCGTCCATGTTTACTATCAGATGAAAGTCCCTATAGCTACTCCACTTGGTTCGTTCGTGAAATATTCATACAATGTATGTTCTAAAATGCATCGTCTGAGTAATAAATGCTTAAACCTCATCATTATATATATACACACACACACATATACACACACACTGCCTCTGTTGAAATGTTTTTAGTTCTGTAAAATTCTGCCAACCATGTGTGCTAGCAGAAAGATTTTTGTTAAAGCCAGTAATTATAATTAATGTAAGCTTGCTTCATGTGATCAAACTTTTTTTTTCTTGTAAAAAGTTTTATTTTATTAGCTCACCATAGTAATTTTATAGCCTGTTGCCCCAGATTTAAGCACTCATACTGTATGTATCTATAATACATGATGCATATTGGGTCTCTTATTGATTAAAGCAAATATGTAACGTTTAAGTATTTTCTGTTTAATTAAGCAAAGATGAGAAACTGTTACTGGTATTTTACAATATATCTTGCAATTACATTACGAAAAGACACAGCTGGAACAATTAAAGGAGCATTCTAGGTGGACCTAAAACCCTTTTTCTCCATTATAAAGTTATTGGATTGAAAACATAAATGAATTATAACGCTACACACCTCTTCATGTACTTACTACAGCAACTTCTGGGTCTTAAATCCACAACCAATATGTGTTCCTAAAAAAATATGACCTTTTTCAGCCAACCCTGGTCTTCCTGTAGCTATTTATGGGAGAAATACTGAGCGTTCATGCGTGTACAACATAATATGCATCGCAGCTCAATAATGGTTTGTCCTGGGGAGTGTGAAAAGCCTCTTCTTGCCTTGAAGAACATAAATAAATAGCATCTGTATCTAGTCCCTTGCACTGTTTTTTTTTTTTGGGGGGGTATGTTAATGGAAGATGAGCACTTGTCATGTACTCCATTGAAATAACACAGTGCAGTTTGTAGTCCAATTTGTTGCATAATTCTCTATTAGATATAAATACTAAAAAGAGAAGTCTTACGCTCACTCCCATCACTACTGGGCCAGCAGCAATAACTACAGTACACATCAGCCCCAATATATAGTAAAAAACAAAGAAAAGAAAAAGTTACCTGTGATCTCTCCTTAATCCCTGTGTATATTTAGACAAATGGAGGTCATTTAGTTGCTCCAATGGCCATTAGAGGGAATGCCTGTCTGCCAACATCAAGGCAGACCCCCCCTAAAGCGGGTCCTACACTGACCCTTCAGCCTGCTTCCTTGAGCTTCTGACAAAGATATATCTAATGAGACAGAGGCTCATAATAATAATTCTCTATTAGATGCCTCAAAGTGAGAAGTCCATATTGACACCGCACAGGATGGATTCATCACCATCACAACATATATTTGTTTACAGATTCCTTAACATCTTGCTCCTTACATTGTAACATCACGCATTAAGCAGAATCATTAATAACATGGGAACTATCAGGAATTTTTTTTGTTTTAAAAATGATCTTCCGATTGTCGTACATCCTAATGATGTGTCCTACTTTTTAAAGCTGTAATAGCCATAGCTATTTAAAACATAAGTCCTATTGGCAGCACTGAAAACTGAAATGAGTTATCACAGGTTAACTCCTCTAAGCATTGCATATCAGGATGCTGGTAGTGATTCAGATAGATTGGCGACTGTTTTCTTTAGAATACTCAGAACACAGCAGCTCGCACTACAGGGAGGATAAATATCCAGGTCCAAAAAACAGAATATATTTGAAGCCAAAGTACCGTGCACGCATTAGTGTCACAAGTTACCATTCATCTGTTATATCCCAAAACATATCAAAAGTTAACTATTTGTTATAATTGTCCTTCAAAGGTAGAACATATAAATGGATTTTAATATTGATACGTTTTCTCTATTGAGTCTTAGTGCATGTGAAGCTCACCTATTGACCACAATGCCTGCACAGTTCTAAAAAGGTAAAATATGAATAGGGCCACCATCCCAATTCTTGGAGCCACTTACAAGCCCCCTGGCAGGTCACCAAAACACACCTCTAAACACACACACACACACACACACACAAACACAGGCTAACAGAGAAAGATGCACTCAATCACACTGATATATACAAACATACTGCTATTTACACACACACACCCTCCGATACATTGCTGAACACACACATACTATCTATTGAGGCAGGTACAGGGCTGCAGGTTTCTAGATCCTCTTCTAACTGACCACATGGTCAGTTAGCACTAGAAGGAAGTAATCTGAAATTACTTCCTGCCAGTGCTGCTGCACGGATGAGAACAGGGACAGTCGGATTAAGTTATGGCAACACAACTTTTAGTTCCACCCAAACTTTACTGGTTGTTCAGCTGCAACTTTTCTACTATATGTTGTATTAAGTTCAACTGGTAGTGCATCAACTGTGCAACCCGTTCGGATCAGCAGGTGTTAGTTGTGATGAAGTCAACTCACCTTCAATATTTCCAAAGCAAATAAAATGTTCCATTGACTTAGGTATTAATAGCATCTAGACTTGGGTACTGCCAAAGTGTTAATTACGTCCGAATACATTCGGGCAAAAGAGAATAAAAATTTTTTTACCAAAAGTTAAGTTTTTGGTTACCGAAAACCAAAGTTCGGCCGTTACTTTATGAGTTTTCAGAGGACATTCAGCAATTATTTTTGTTTTGGAATGTAAGTCAAACAAGCTTAGTCTGCGCAGAGCCTTCACGTGGTGAGGATGAGGTCCTGGGGAGACACTATGTCCCCACTAGTTAATTATTTATGTAGATGCTCCACCATGGGGGACGTGTGTCAGGTCTCCCCTTTGTTCGATTAGCGACTGGACAGCAAAGGCTGCTGCTTCTATTTTTAAACATTTCAAGCAGGGAGCCGCAAGTGAAACAAATGAACGAGGATCGACTAGCACAGGTGAAAATATGTCATTTCATTTGTTGTTAAATTCGGGTGAAAACGTGTCCATCCAAAAACAAGCGCCCAAGTCTAGTAGCATCTATTCACAGCATCTCCTTCTTAGTTAAATGTGGCAGAAAGTTATAATTGAAATGATTAGGCTGCCAGTGACTTATTAGAGTTGTAGTCAAGTAATAGATGGAGGGTGTGCGTGGACACCCAGACTGTAGCAGTTGCTAGGGTACATTATGCAAAACGTGTTTCTTTAGCTGAAGAACCTTCAAGTAACGTTTTTTGCTTCAGTCTGTATTATTCAATACATTACAGTATTATTTCAATGGAAATTAAAAAGTATTTTGTTACATTTTGCCAATGTTCCATTTTACCAGTTTACATCAACACAGCCAATAAACTATATCATAATGGATATATTTATAAATAAATCTTATAAAATCGTTACATTTAACCCTTGGACCATCTCAATTTTACTCCCAAAAACCCTCCAACTTTCTTATTTTCCTTTATAAAAAAAATAAATTAAAAAGCCTATTTACTAAACTGATAGTTTTCTAGGAACGTTCTGCAAACCTCTAACACAGTAATAAGATGTCTCACAGGAGCTCTGGAATTTCGAAGCACTCTGCTTTGCCTCTGATCTCTTCCAGGAATTCTGTGCGTGAGACTAGGTTATTGCATAAGGATTAGGCCTGTATTGTTACGGCTGGTGCTTGAGACAGAATTGGGGCAGGATAATCTATATCGTGATGGTTCTACTCTCGGCATATGTCACATTAACCTTTTCCGTGCCACAGAGGCCTCTTTACACTGAGACGGTTACACAACAAACCTAATTACCTCTTTGGCATAGAACAGGGGTGACCAAACTTCATGTCTGTAGAACCCAATCTTAAAATTTAGAAACAGAGAGCCGCAATTACATTTATTGGAGTATTCAACAGAACCAAATATTGTCCCATGTTTCTCACTTTCCTCTTCCCAGCCCCTCCATTCATGTGTTTCATTCTCTTCCTCAGCCCCCCGCCACTCCCAGCGTTGCCACTCTCGCTCTCTGTGTTGCACTCTTCCTGTCACACCAGGTAGAGAGAAACCAACTCCTCTACATATATTGTTTTTGTTTGGTTGTTCATTTTACACATTCATGTTGCTGCTAAAGTAATTCTATATAATTCTTATCTATCTGTACACAATAATTTAGTGCATAATTTATCTTTATTTTATGTTTGCGATTTACTCGTTAATGAATGCAAGTTAATGAATGCAATTTTCTTGGCAAAAGTATTCCAATTAGCCAATTAAATATTGTACAGAAATGTCACGTCTTCTTTGTTTTTATTGCTCGACCAGTCATGGACACCCTGTTTGAGTTAGTTTGAGAGTCTGTCTGTCTGTCTGAGTGCAATAAGACACACCTGCGCATGTTCGCTGAGGCACTATGCACTCTAATTCATTGAGCTACTGCTGAGTTCCCCAATTCTCTGCCCAGCTCTGTGTGTTTATTTCAGCTAATCATTGGACGAATTCAATAATTTGCAGCTAAACCTTTGCCAGTACTGCTGAACTCAGGAGATGAAATGCCACAAATTCATTATTTGCTTGGGACTGTGCAATAGATGGCTATAGCGGAGTTCATTCATGACGTGGCAATATAGAAAGTGTATTTTATTTTTTGTTCTAAGCATGTGAACTGAACACGCTAAGTCTTAGAGAACTGAAAAATGTATTTGCAGACTAACAACTGTGGAGGCACAATTAATCGCGTCTTTCATGTCTAACAGGACTTGGTGTCACTTTAAAAAGCAATTTCAAATTATTCAGAAACGTGTAGATGAAAAGTTATTCAGGTTTTTGTCTTTTTGGTGTGACGACCTTGGATTTTGGAGAAGTGGCTTATGCCGTTTGGGTTCATCTTGGGTGCATGTACAGTCACTCACACTATTAGCAGTAAATGAAGTATCCAAGAAATAGCCTTCCATTACTTATCTTTTTTGGATACTGTTGCTGGTGAATGTTTCGACATTAAACTGAATAGGAACTCGTCATCCACAATGTTTTTACATCATCCAACACTTTCAAACAAGTTGTAAACCCCTAGTACAAAAATCCACAAATTAGAAAACCAGCTGTGGGTGCCAAGTGTTAAAATGTTACTTTTATTAAATCACGGCAAGAAAAATCCCTATAAGTACAAAAACAGTTTTATTTATTTCTTACTTAATACTTTATTTACAACTCTTGATTAATCTCAGTATAGTCTCCATATATTAATTCTAAAATCTCATCACTAAAATATTACTGCTTTATTACTGTCCACCTTTCTGACAAAGACTAACCCTCCTTGTAATGATTAGTCCCCTTGTACTCCTATTATAAACAGCTTTTTCCCAAGCATAAAGCAACATGGTTGCAACTTTGCTAGTGAATCCTAGAACAGTTACAATATCCAACTTTGAGTACAGACTATTACTGCAAAGTAACACTCCTCAGCCTGCCTGGGATAGAGGGGTGCAAATAATCTTTAAGACAGTCTTTTTGCACTTGCTACAGCATGAGCATGCGCTTGGCCAGCTCTTAAAGTAAATTAGTCATGATTTTAGGCAGCCGTTTTGAAAAATAACATCTATTACATGGCATCGTTAAATTATTGTAAAATCAAAACTACATAAGAAGACCATGTGGTGATATCAGTTGTGATGCGCTTTGTCATTTGCAATGTGAATCCCATAGGTCTCATGGTCTGGCGGCCATATTGGTTTATTGACTAATGATGCTAAAATCTCAAACCGAGGTACCGGTATTTTAAAATGCAATCTTTGGCTTTTGTGTTTAGTCACATTTATTGCTGCTTGCACCTACATTCACCGTTTAGATCATTGTAGAGCAGTGAAGCACAGCGATTATTTCATTGTGTCTTGCAGGCCTGTGTCCCAGGTAGGCCTATGAGCGTTACTTTACAACACAATTAGATCTGACCACATACCTTTCCAGAAGAATGTACCTACCTTCAGTCACCTTTTAAAGTAGTGGGGAATGTGGTTTGTTGGGACCCTGCTTCAGGAACATATATAGAAACTTTGAAAAACATTAATACTATATCTACTGATGTACGCATTACAAGCATCTCACATCACAAAAAATAATATATAAGTGCCATTTTTCTTTTTTAAACTTTGAAGGGAATCCGTCACATCTCTGGAATTTATCCCCCTCAATGCACACGTACTTGTAGTCTACAGGGCTTTCAACATGGCTATTAAATATATTGCTTAGGGCTGGTGGTATCGTTAACAACATTTGTGCCTTTAGGTTGTTTACGACAGGTAAAACACATGCATTCTCAACATAATCCATAATTTTGCAGATTAAATAGCACTAGATAGACATTTAATTAGGGCAGACAGATGTTAGATTTGGTGATCTAGAAACAGGAGGAATGTGATTTATTGTATATATGTATGTATATATTTACTATTGAAATATTATATTTTAGTTCCCCGGTGTCCTGTATGGTGGGGGCCAACCAGGAGGCTGTCAGTCTGGTGTGCTAGGTGCCAGGTTGACATGCCCCTTTACTGGGCAGACATACCCACTTCTTGTGCAGACCCATGAAATGCCAGTGATGACCCCTTGAAGACCAGCTGGCCCACCCCAATTTCATATCTCCCAGTGTTGCGAGGCATGGAATTGTACATTTTTGGCTACACGAATTGTTGATCTAGAGGACATTTCCATTTTGGATGTTATGGATTAAAATTACCTTTACATTTCTCTAGAAAAAAATGGTTTAGTGAAGAAACCTCATTCTGCCTACATGAAAACAGATATTAAAATACATTTTAAAGTGTATCAAGAGAAAAGAAAATTAAAGACTGGGCTGATAGGAGAAAATGCCACATTTAACAGCAGAAGTGCTATTTACAGTAAAGATGCAGAATTCACTAATACTGACACAGAGATAACCTGATGCTATTTTAACAGAAGCATAAGAAAAATATGGGCAGGAAAATAGTCCATCTTAATTTAGGGAAATAATCCTAGATTTGGAGTGAATAATTGGTTTTGTTTTATTGTAACATTATTCTGGGTGAAAAGCTAGTTGGTAGGTGGAACATTGTGCCTCTTCATTCCCAAGTGACCTCTTTTAAAGACAAGATGTTATCACGCGGAAAGATGTTATCACTCACTGAACGGTAGACCAAGGTTTGATCATGTTACCCTGATCTGAGCTGATTCTATGTGAGGCTAGAGTATAACATGTATTGAGCTCAACGATTGGCATTCTGGCAAGAGAAAACCCTCAAAAATAGTATATCCAAGATCAGTTTCATAGCTGGTAATTTAGCTTCCACCCTCAACCATCAGAGCATGAGCTCAGATTCGGAAAATGAAAATCTTCATGCAGTAAACATAATTTTTTTAAGTATGTAGAAAATGACTAGCAGTAGTATTTCAAGATTCGTACACAAATATTATAATTTCAATGTGGTATTAATAAATGATTCTTGGTGATTATTGACAGCAAGTATATTTCTGAAATGTTGTGTACAACAAAAACCTTTGTTGGTTATTCATTTAAACTGGGAATTGTGCAGAATTGTGTTTGGTGAGCTGGTGATGGAACCCTAACGTTCTTTGTTTCATCTCAACCTAAATATTTTAAAAGACTTGAGATGTGGTGACTCAAAACTTCTATCAATGGATTTACATTTCTAAATGGGCTAAATATGATCTTTGGAACTGCAGTAAAATTAACTCCATGTCAGTTCATGGACATTTTCTGACCTTATGTAACCTCGGGGCCTGGGACATTATCCTGCCGAAAATATTCATTAGTACCTGGAACCACTACTACCATGTAGAGATATAAATGATTAGAAATGATGGGATCCCCTGAGCTCTATCCCTATGGGAGCTATGACTTGAAATGGATTTGACACGTGAAGGATATTTTGAAACCGTTTTGTGTTTGAGTTATTGTAGAGGTTTACAAAGTAGGCCAGGACAGGACAGTATATTGATTGCTGCAGCAAGAGTATACATAAAGTAAAACACCCTAAAAAAAAAAAAGACCTCTCCAAATATGTTCTTATCACAAAACGCCATAATAGGTCGTTTACCAGATAGTAAAAAAAAAGATTCTATGTACAGGCACTCTTTCATCCGTATTGGTGCAAAGTATCAAGGTGGCCCATTTACCTCAAAAAATACAAGCTCGGAAGACAAGACCACCACTGACCAAGTACCCAACCACCACCACGAAGATGGCAAGAACAGTCTTCCACTTCATAACGGGCCATTTAAGGGATGTTCCAGGTCCCGGCACCAGCAGATTGAAGACAGGAGTCCGGTACCTCCAGGAAGAGTGAGGGATCCTTTTCACATACCATTTGGGAGAAGCAACAGATTGACATCAACTACTGGGATATCCTATTGCACCACAATTTATATATCAAGAAACATACACAAGCTTCAAAATAGGACCTACAGCCTTGGAGAATGTGGTGAGATCCACCCATATATTATAGTGTGTACACACTGGAACTGTATATACTTGTTTTTTTTCTCATTTTGTATTTTTTACCTTTTTTCATATTTTTTCATTTTTTCCTTTTTTTTCCTTTTTTTCTTTATTACCCCTTTTTGTGGATGGGACCTTTGGACTCTAAGACACAGCTACACAGCATAAATTTGATTATTCATAAATCTGTGGTCAGGGATCTTTAGTAACGTGGAGTTATATTAATAGGTTCACAATGTATTGTTTCCATTAGGATATATTGTTTGACTCAAGTGTATATATTAACAATTTATTGATTTTGGAGTATATTTTTTATAATCAAGGAATTATGTCTATATAATATCACAATGAATTATTAAATGAAATAATGAACTTTATCTAACGTTTATTTTGAGTGTTTACCAGATAGTACCCTGAGAAAGTACCAAGTAGTGTTTTCAACCACCTTCTCGATATGCCCCCTTAGTCTTGCATACAGTGCATTGATGAAGACTTGCCAAGGTCGTGAGAACCTTTTAGTTCTTTAATCTTTTCGTGACAGATATTCCATCAAATTCCTTCTAAACATGTGTAATAAATTAGAGTGGAGCAAATACCTAGTAGGGGAAATTCAATGTTTGTGTTTTTGATCTCTTTCAAACCTTATTAAGAGTGAAAATACATAGAACTCTGTAAATTTACTGGTTTCTCCATTTTTTGCAAGGTATGATAGTTCAAAACTAGTAGAAGGGGAAAGCACTAAACCAGAAATGTCAATTGGCAAACTCACACTGGAGATGGCAATAATATCCAACACATATGTAGATATACAATCGGCATGGGCACACATCAGCTTCTTATTTAAACAGCTTTATTGGGTCAAGAAAAAAAATAGGCATTGTTTCAGTCTTACTGAGACCTTTGTCTCAATGTATGATATGGTATAATAGTGTGTGAATTTGCTTTTTGGCCTTTTTAGCACCAACGTGGCATGGAACGCTCCATCAACATACTGAAGCCTACCTGTTGCAGGCCATTTTGAGCCATTTTCAGTCCATCTGGATGGTCTTTGGCTAATGGATCATTCTTAAAACACACGAACCTGAGCAGTACTAAAAAGGGAGAATCAACTAATGTTTTGTACCGTGCAATTTTTGGGAACAGCAATTTAGAAGCCACAATATCCAAGATGCAATTTATCAGATCAGATTAAATTTCTCTCTATTTATGATAATTTCCTGTTTATTGAATAACAGGGACTAAGTATCATTCACATAATGTATAATAATGAAGCGAGGGCTGCCATTTTCTATAGGACCTGCAGCAGGATCCTCTGCCGAGCCTGGCCTCAATCACATGGAATGGGTGGTGGAGTTAGGTCAGATGGCGTACATGTGGAGAGTATGCATATGGAGCGTGTTCTCACATTGTGGCGGTAATACACACTGCATGCATCAATTTCCCAACCCCTAACTGCTGAAATGTGAAAATTAAAATGACAATTTTGCTTTCAACTGGAATCTGCTATTTAGTCTATTTTATGGAAAGAGCAGTTATTATGAATATTATTTATTTGCTTTTGCATGAACATGCATACAATAGGGGCACAGAATGTGTTGCAATATTTCAGTGCCTCTTTCAGTGACTTGTTTATATATTCCACAATATATAAAATGGGGGGGGGAGGGGGAGGTTGCACTCACCTGAACATGCATAAATGGGGTGCTGCGGGGGGCATTTGTCAACATTGAAGTTGCTGTTTAGTGGATAGGTGAGTGCGCTGGATCTTGTGTATTTTTTTATATATATATATATATACACTGGTTTTGCATCTTATCCTAAATTGTGTTCCAAGCAGTTGTATACTGCAAACACAAATTAAAAGGAATCCATGTTTAAAATGGAATGAGGCAAAAATGTGATTCTTTGTTAAACTAATTTGCATATGCTCACCCAGAATCCTTTGCGGTTGTAACATCACTGCTGATTTGGGATTTCTGTGGGAAAAGCAAGTCTTATGGCTTGACTGGTGTGCAGATTTTTGTTTAGCATTGTATTAAATATATATATATATATATATATTTATATATATATATATAACAAATTTTAAAAACAATTCCTTTTTTTTTTTTTTAATGCATCTATACAAATAAGTTTGGGTGTCTGGTTTCCTGCATTCTTTCCTGCCCCTTTTACTCTAAAATATCTCCATACACTTTGCTGGCTACCATGACTGCATTAACTATATTTTTATCCTTTAAGTGGCTGAGGAGACAGTGCCATTGACATATTCTATGTACATATTTTCATGATTTCTGTCTTTAGGTATCGGATTACGACAGGCTCCATGCAGATTTCCATAAAGAGGAAGGTCTCCTTTTTACTTCTGCTCTGTCTCAAGCAATTATTTGATCACACGGCTTAAGCCTCTTCTTATTTAATGAGTATCGATATTCAATAATTTCTGCTCTCTCTCAAAACGAAGGTGCTGTTGGTTTGGAGCGTATGTGCCTCTCTATATCATAATGGTTACAGCAATCTGTAAAAGTTTCATCTTTGGGGACTCAAACTGCTAATACAGGGAAGTAGTATACAGCATTTTGCTTGAAATACAACTTTCTCGTCCATTGTTCTCTGTTTAATCTATCGTGAAAAAACAGGGTTATTCATTAAAGTTATAATTCAAAGTGCATTTCAAATTTATAACCAAATGAGCTAAAATGGAAGTGTATCTGACGTAGAGAACGTTTCCCGTTCTTATCTGCAGGTCTGTTTGATTGTTTAAATCCCGTGCAGCACAGAGTAGAGTAAAATAGTTAAATGTTTACTCCAATCACCATGACCATGTCAGTGATTTAAAGTGGTCATGGTGGTTAAGAGTCTGGATGTGCAGTGTTTCTGCTTGGCATTTTAATGAAATAAAATGTGCCTCCATTTAAATACTTGTTGGATTATTTTTTGTGTAACTTTTTTTTCTTGTTTGCTACACGACCTATGCCTCACTTCCAAGCATTAGTGTCAGTGACCAAAATATGTAAATTGATCCATTTTATGATGTTAACGAAAACCTATAGTCTCCCTCAATGCAGTAAGTTATAGCCCCAGGCTTTGTCACACAAATCTATGTGGGTATTGTGTTTTTATATTGTTTGAACACACTACCTGCTTCCAGAGCTGGATTCAGCTTGCCCAGAGCCCTAGCCAGGATGTCAGATTGGGGCCCCTTTCTAAATCCCTGGACTCATTCCTGTGAAAGAGGCAACTGAGAATTGTGTGTGGTGGCACAGCACTCCTCTTTTGCCAGTCACTTTATGTAGTGTGGCCGAGCGGAGATAAAGGGATGGAGAGGAGGGTTATGATCTATGGCCGTCCGGAGGAGGGGGTTCTCCCTCCTACTATCAGAGTGTTGCCGCACGTTACCACGGCAATGCTCTGATACTTTCACTGACGGCAGAAGGAGCTGTCTGCATCCACTGAGGATGCAGAAAAAGTAGCAAGTATCCCACCAGACCACCAGGGAACAGTATTCCCCCTCCTTGGCCAAAGGTAAGCCTCAGGGAGGGGGTAATACACTATTATTTTCTTCCCCCATTACAACCCCTACATGAACCGTCTCAGCCCATATCTTCCACCTGTCAGCCCCTTTCCCACCCATCTCAGCCCCTACATTCCTCATTCCAGCCCCTATCACCCACAACTCAGTCCCTACCTCCCCCCATCGCAGCCCCTACATCCCCCATCTAAGCCTCTACCTCCATTACTCCATTTAGAGCCCCCTATATTCCTCCATTACAGCTCCTACCCCCCTATCACAGCCCCTAAGTCCCTTCTAACAGCCCCTATCCCCCCCACTACTGCACCATTTATACATCACAGCGCCTATCACCAACTTTGCTGCCCTTATACCCTTTATCACAGCCTCTATCTCCCATCTCATCTATTTACCACCCAGTAAAGCCCCTCTACAGTTCCTATCCCCCATCACGACCCCTACCCTCTAATCACAACCCCATTATGACCATATATCAAATATCATTGCTTCCCACCTGATTAGATCCTATTATTTCAGTGACATCTATTAATTTAATACTGTGTTATCATATATATTCATTTAAATAATTATTAGAAAGCCGATATAGACTCCTAATATTTAAACTATTGCACTGAGTGTGCCAATGTCCTTCTGGCACGTTATTTAAAAGGTTAACCTTTTTTTTTTTATTTACATTTTTTTTTGTCGTCGGGCAGGTTTTAGATTTGTATGCCTATAGGCGCCTGAGATGTAAATCTGGCCAGATCAAGCAGTGCACAATCCGAAAGTGCTGCATGAATAAATGATATTGATGGTAATATGAAAAGGTTCTGGTCTCTATATTAACATTGAAAATGTCAATAGGAAAGTATAGCTCCTGGGTGCTACTGTCTGCCTTTATTTGTTCAACGAGCACCATCTGGCAAAAAAAATGCATTCCATTCAGACAGAATTTTGATGAATACTATTTTAATGCACAGATGTTAGTGATGTATCAGTATAATGGAAGGGCTGTATCAGTGGATAGTAACTTATTAAATGTCAGTAACAGCACGTCAGCACCTGGTGGGCTCTCGGTGATGACAAGAGCCCAATTTACTGCACTTCCAAGATAAATTATTGTGTTTAAGCTGGGAGTGGTCGCCGGTGAAGGATTGCGTTGCTGTCTGCCAACCCGAGGATTTAAAATGCACCTGTCATACAAAACTCACATGGGTTTAATTTAAAGGACTCTATGTTTGATCTCTTTGATATTCTTTATCAAAAGATAGTTTAATGTTCAGTTGAGTGTGTGTATTATTATTAGCATTTATATAAAGCGCTAAAACATTCCCCAGCGCTTTACAATGGTAGACAAGGGATATTTAGAGGTGAAGAAGGCATTGCTCAAGTGAGCTTGCAATCTATGTGGTGGTCTGACAAGTATTCAAACCTGTTTCTATATCAACAATGCATTGCAAGATCTCAAATAGAAAGTTGTTTGCGCAATAACTTTCCAACGACTCACAAGCTGATTATGATATAGGTACTGGCATGTGACGTCATCAGTCACGCAGCACACTGGTAACAGGAGGTGGCGTTGAAATATATTGCCGACCCAAGCTAGTACCAAGACTCCCCATGTTGTTTGCAGAGATCAGTCCAATTCAACTTTAAACTATGAATTAACAATGAACTAAATCCCTCTGATTCTGTACACCAAGCTGAAGAAACCTTACCTCGAAAGTCCTAAAGAGTTGCTATAAGTGCCATAAATACAAAGCTGTATCCCTGGCACCATAGCTCCCTCTGCCTCCTCCCTCCCACGTGAACAAAGGGTTAAAAAATGCAGTCCTGTGCTAGTTATTGGACCAAAGGTCTGCTAGGATCCAGGAAGTTCCTCCCGTGGCTGTTTGGGAAACAGCCACTGGAGGCAGACTTAGTGCTGCAATGTTTTACATTGTAGCACTAAATGCAATAGGGACACTGTACCCAGATCACTTCAATGAGCTGAAGTGGTTTGGGTACCTATAGTGTCCCTTTAAAATCGTTATGGCAGCTAAAGATGTCTATCGTTACATAGTTATTGAAACAACATATTCATTATTTTCCTTATTCCATTTTCTAACCTAAGCCCAATGACACATGAATAGATTTGGTGATTCACTGTGTTCTCATAAATCAATAGATTGAACTATGCAATTCAGTGATATAAATGCATTGGTCAGGGGGCTTTATATGAACATTCCAGTGAGTTTTCTTCAGTGAATGCATTGTTTGAACATTTTTTATAGCAAAACACCCAGACAATATGAGAATGTATTTAACTGTCAGTGAACTCACCCATAAACAATTGCTATAAATCATATCCTGCCTCTCTTGGCAAACGTATTAGTTCCTTTGGATTCCAATACCCCCTATATGCTGATGGCACCCTTATAGACCTCTCCTCCACTGAACGCTCCCCCACCTTTCTTGACCATGTCATCCAAATGGAGGTCTTCCCACTTTCTAAAGCTCAGCCTAAGGAGCTTGTTTACACTCTTATAATTTCCCCGATCAATTACGGCAATCTACTCCTGGTCTCTATAGAACTACGGTCCATAAAGAATGCTGCTGCCAGGCTCAGCTCACAGGTCTTTACCTTTTTCATTGGTCTGTGTATATTAATATTTTATTATTTATAAAACGCCATCAAATTCCGTAGAGCTGTACAATGGATGGACTAACAGACACGACCAGACAAGTTGGACGCACAGTAACAGAGGGATTGAGGGCCCTGCTCAGTGAGCTTACATGCTAGAGGGAGTGGGGTATAGTGACACAGTAACAGAGGGATTGAGGGCCCTGCTCAGTGAGCTTACATGTTAGAGGGAGTGGGGTATAGTGACACAGTAACAGAGGGATTGAGGGCCTGCTCAGTGAGCTTACATGTTAGAGGGAGTGGGGTATAGTGACACAGTAACAGAGGGATTGAGGGCCCTGCTCAGTGAGTTTACATGTTAGAGGGAGTGGGGTATAGTGACACAGTAACAGAGGGATTGAGGGCCCTGCTCAGTGAGCTTACATGCTAGAGGGAGTGGGGTATAGTGACACAGTAACAGAGGGATTGAGGGCCCTGCTCAGTGAGCTTACATGCTAGAGGGAGTGGGGTATAGTGACACAGTAACAGAGGGATTGAGGGCCTGCTCAGTGAGTTTACATGTTAGAGGGAGTGGGGTATAGTGGCACAGTAACAGAGGGATTGAGGGCCCTGCTCAGTGAGTTTACATGTTAGAGGGAGTGGGGTATAGTGACACAGTAACAGAGGGATTGAGGGCCCTGCTCAGTGAGTTTACATGCTAGAGGGAGCGGGGTATAGTGACACAGTAACAGAGGGATTGAGGGGCCCTGCTCAGTGAGTTTACATGTTAGAGGGAGTGGGGTATAGTGACACAGTAACAGAGGGATTGAGGGCCTGCTCAGTGAGTTTACATGTTAGAGGGAGTGGGGTATAGTGACACAGTAACAGAGGGATTGAGGGTCCTGCTCAGTGAGATTACATTCTAGAGGGAGTGGGGTATAGTGACACAGTAACAGAGGGATTGAGGGCCTGCTCAGTGAGCTTACATGCTAGAGGGAGTGGGGTATAGTGGCACAGTAACAGAGGGATTGAGGGCCCTGCTCAGTGAGCTTACATGCTAGAGGGAGTGGGGTATAGTGACACAAAGCATAAAGGTAGAGATAGAGTAGAAAAGTTTTTGACAGTTGTAGGAGAGGAGTCAGGGTGCAGGGAGGGAAAGCTGTTAACAGTTTAATTGATATGCTTTCCTAAAGAAGTGAGTTTTCAATGATTTTTTGATGGAATGTGGAAACTGGGTGAAAGTCTGAGAGGGCAAGGGAATGCCACAGCCCTAGAGAAGTCTTGAATGCAAGTATCAGAGGTGGGAGTATGGACAGAGGATTGACGTAGGTCTTCGGCAGCGCGTAGGTGCCTACACGGGACATACACCTGTATCAGGGAGGATAGGTAGGTTGGAGGATCGTTATGTAGAGACTTGTAAACAAGCATCAGGATATTAATATTGAACATTCTCCCCTAATTGTACAGCTCTGCAGAGTTTGTTGGCGCTTTCAGAGTGTAAATATATGACATATTAAATATTGGTGAAATACATTCACTTAAAAAATATTCCAAAATTAAAAATTGCAAGTACAGAAAATGACAGTAGTAAACTACAAGTAAAGATGGTAATTAAACAATGTGGTGACAGAAGGTAGAATAAATTAGGTGGATTATTTTACAATCTTCATGAAATACCTGAAAGTCTGCTGCGTGAGAATTAAGTTAATTCTGCTTTTTGTTTTTTGTGATGTCATTAAACACTATAACAGCCTTATGGAAGTGTGACTTGCCTTGAAATCCATTGTGATTGGCTGTCAGTAAAGTCTATTCAGTCTGGCTTCATTGTTGATCCCCCACCCAGCAGACTGGGAGGGCTAAGAATGGGGTCTTTTTTTTCTTGTTTGCATGAAGCTGGTTATTAAAGCTCTCTTCGTGTAAGTTTTCCTATTATTTTTTTTTTTAAACTGCTTTTTAGTGAAGGTGTTAATTTATCTTATATCTTATCCCTTTAATTATCTTGTCGAACGATCAACAAACATAAACACCTGAATGCATTGTATCCCTTGGAAGTGTGTTTATTGTTGGATGTAACAATACTCCCCATTAGGTGTAATGCAAGGGGGATACATTGGTCGCCTGCAAAATACAAGGTTAACTTCGCCTGAAATAGATACAAATAGTATATTAACCCTTTAAAAGCCATGACCATGCGTTCTTCAGAGAATAACACAGGCCCATTGATAGAGAGAGGGTTAATACACGCACTGTAGAAATAAAGTCTACAGAAGACAACGATAAAACTAATCTCTTGTCTCAGCACAAATTATATTGATTATTTTTTATACTTCGGCTTAGGATATCAGTTTAACATGTTCAATGGATTAGCGTGTTTTAGCCTTTGACCTTCGTCTAGACACCATTCAGTATGCACTGTCCCTTTCTAATGAGAGAATGGAGCCTGCTGTGGTCTTGCAGGCTGGACAGAGGAGGCATCCACATTTCCAGGAACAGATGGTGTAAGGTTTTTTTTTTTTTGTCTTGTAAAGGCACCAGTACCTACAGCCTGGCTCCGTCAAACCTTCCAAGTAAATTATTAAAGATGCAATTTCCTTTCGACTTTCCAGTAACGTCTACCTTTCCCCTGAAATGTTTTGCATTACTGTCACTGTGTGGTAGTGACACACATTACCTTGCGCTGGCTCTTAGACCGCTCATGTGACTGTAAGGGGGACAGGTCTGGCTCTTCCCCATATTAAATAATTGGGAGTGAGCACTTGACAGGCCATTTGCGGCCAGGAAGTGTATTTATATTGACATCAGAATTACTGTACAGCAGATAAACATGATGAAGTGTTTGATAAGGGAATTGCAAATGCCAGGGAAGTAATGCTAGATTTAAAAAGGGACCTGTTTAGGGTTCATCATCTAAAACTGAGAACACGGGAAGAATTCTCAAACGTATTTTTCAATTTTAAGGGGCGCGGGGGGGGGGGTGAGCAGTATGGGAATGGTTACTAACTAAAAGCAGCATTTCATTCAAACACTGTGGTTTTGGGGTGGAGAAATCTTTTCAATGTGAATTGTAGTGACTCTAAACCAAATTGCAGTAATATAGGCAAAATATAAACAGGTAATAGCCATAGATTGCCTATTTAATACTAAATGTTGCAATTTGGGTTTCAATTCACTACAATCCAATGTTTAGTGAATAACATGCAATGAATTGTTTCTGAACCGATCCACGGGAGAATATTCACTGACCTAATTGAGTTTTGTTGTTCAATCTCCACAATTCAGTGTTAAGTGCAGTGAGAGCTCCCTCACCCCAGTAAATACTGTTGAAGAACGTACTGTGGTAAGAAATGCCTCTGCAGCGCCTGTGTGCAGGGCCGGATTAACATAGGGGCTGATGGAGCTGCAGGCCCAGGCCCATGGAATAGGCCCATTGATTTAAAAAAAAATAAAAAAATAAAAAATTTTTTTTTTTTTTTACATTTTTTTTTTTTTTTTTAACACACTACTCTTAGGGATTCCACCTGGCTTTTATTTTATTGGCACAGCCAGTATTTGAGGCTGCCTGACTGGTGCCAATATTGCAGTGATACTGGCAATACAAATGCTGGTATTTTTCTCAGTATAAACAAGAGATTACTCTGCAATACCAGCACTGGCCAGTAGGGGTCGCTGTATGTGGAGACAGGCAGGGATAGGAAGTTCCAGCATATCCCTCCCTGCCTATCTATACTTACTGATCTGCAGGGGAGCAGCTACAGAGAGTCCAGACAGCAACTCCCACCCTGCAGAGACAGCCTACAGCTCAGGGAAGTAAGGGATAGGGGGAAAGGCTGCAAGGAGACATACACTGAGACACTAAGGGACATTGGGAGACATTATGACACAGACACATGGGGACACAGTGTCCCCATGTCTTCCAGCCAGTGTGCCTGGTGTCTCGGTGCCCCCTAGTCTCCCAGTGCCCCCAGTCTGCCAGTGTCTCACTGTCCCCATGTCTCCTAGTGTCTCCATGTCTCTCAGTGCCTCAAGTGTCACAATGTCCCCATGTCTCCAAGCTAGTGTCCCTAGTGTCTGTGGCCCTGGTGTCTCAGTGTCCCCATGTCTCCCAGTGCCTCCATGTCTCAATGTCCCCATGTCCCTCAACCAGTGTCTCTAGTGTCTGTGTCCCTGGTGTCTGTGTCCCCATGTCTTCAAGTGTCCCCTATTTTCCCATTGTCCCCATGTGTCCCAGCCAGAGTCCCCTAGTCTCCCAGTGTCACTGGTGTCTCCGTGTCCCTAGGTCTCCCCGTGTCCCCAGGTCTCCCCGTCTTCCTAGTGTCCTAGTGACATGGGGACCCTGGGATACATGGGGACACAGGGAGACATGGGGGATTGAGACACTGTGATACATAGGGTCACTGGGAGACCTGGGGACACGACACTAGGGGACACTGGGAGACATGGGGCACTGAGACACTGATACATAGGAACACTGAGACCTGGAGTAATCGACACATGGGGCACTGAGTCATGAGGGCACTGGGAGACATGGGGGCACTGGGAGGAATCCATCTATACAGCAGAATCAAACTATCAAAGTAGTTTTTTGGTGATTTTACAGCATTTTCTCTTATGTCACTCCTTGTGATTTACATCATGTGATGTCACCCATACATATTTAATTATGCAAATTGTTTTTTACCCAAGAAAGGTGGCAACCCTCACTACTTTTCACATACTCTTACTTAAGTATGGAAACTTAAGAGGGATGTATGGGAACAAAACTTGTGTGGACTGGCTGACAATGAATATAGTTAAAGGGACACTATAGTCACCAGAACAACTACAGCTTACTGAATTTGTTCTGGTGAGTAGAATCATTACCGTCAGGCTTTTTGCTGTTAACACTGTCTTTTCAGAGAAAATGCAGTCTTTACATTACAGCCTAGTGATAACTTCACTGGCCACTCCTCAGATGGCTGTTAGAGATCCTTCCTGGGTCATGGCTGCCTAAAATGCATCCAAACATTCAGTGTCTCCTCCCTCTGCATGCAGACACTAAACTTTCCTCATATAAATTCATTAATTCAATTCATCTCTATAAGGAGATGCTGATTGGCCAGGGCTGTGTTTGAATCATGCTGGCTCTGACTCTGATCTGCCTCCTTGTCAGTCTCAGCCAATCCTATGGTGATTGGATCAGGCCACCACTTCTAATGATGTCAGCAAACTGCTTGTTTTTATGAGTCTAATAGCATGCAGAGTTACAGCTTCAGGCTTGAATATAGTAAGATTTTGTTATATTTATGGAGGCATGAGTGGCCCAGGGGGGCTAGATGGTGGTGTTAACACTGTAGGGTCATGAATTCATGTTTGTGTTCCTGACCCTATAATGATCCTTTAAGGTAATGCTGACTTTGGTCTCTCTAACACTGTGTGGCATGTTCCCTTTCTTCTACACTCATTACATACAGCTTTTCTCTGTCCCAGACCATATACCAGGAGCTTCTGCCTGCTAGTAAGAAGGTAAGGAGACAAGTGGACCAGCGAGTGCTAGGGGACAGTCCTTAGAAAGCCTGAGTGAGCGCATCATTAGATGCATTTATGCCAAGCTCAGGGTGCTGTCTGCATAGTATGCCCTTAGTTGGCCAGTTGCATGATTGGCAGGGCAGCCTGACATGCATTCATGCTGGCTCTAATTCTTTGGGCAGACATGTCCACTTTTTGGGCATGTTCACCCCTTTTGGCAGGTTACGTGATTTGTGTCAGTGGCACACCCTTTTACCATGCCCATTGACTTCCTGTTTGACTGGACACTGCTGTTAGGGGTTATGGATTTACTTGAAAGATGAAAACATAAATTAGAGGGAGATTAGCATAAGGTATGTGTTTTCTTATAGCTGCTGTTTTCCTTCTCTCCAGCACCATCTCCATCAGATACATGACGCTTGGGAGTGTTTTACTGTTTTTGGTCGATATGATTCTGTAATTAGGCCCGTCATAATTGTCAGCACCAGGCCCACTGGGCTCTTAATCTGGCCCTGCCTGTGTGACCATGGCAACAAACGCTGATGCACACCCAGACACCTCCTGTCACACCAGAGCA